GCCACGCTACTTGAGCTAGCTGAGCACAGCTGGCAGCGGCGCGAGCAAGGCCGCAAGGCCACGAGAGGAACGTGAGGGTGCTCGAGCCATCCCACTGAGAACCAATGTTACGGACACCACACGGGTGCGTGTCGCCATTATTGGTTGAACTAACGCCTTGTTCAAGATGGCTGCCGTGGGACCGCAGCCTTAACAGTTCGAAAGGATCATTGCCGTCTTTTTTTATGGACATTTAATTTAGATCTTCTAATCGGTACCGCACTGTTGCTTTTTTTATTTTTTTTTCTTCTCGCTTCATCGTTTAATGTGACACGAGCAAACGCGTAACATTGGGCCTCTCATTGGCTTCACATGACACCAGGTATAGTTGGGTTATACCCAACCACATGTCCCAAGAACTGGTTTTATGATAAGAGTGGCAGTAATAATATTATATTTAATTATTTCCACAGTATTTATTGCATCGGTATCGGGATATATTAAACTTTTAAGCGAGAATTTAGTTGAGTAGGTACCCGCTAAACGGTAAGCATTTTTCCAATTAACTTCTTTTTTCCGGCCGTTTTTGCTTTGATTGAAAGAAAAGGAGAACGAAGTGTTCTCACTTGACTGACGAAGAGCCTACCAGGCCCGAAACGTTTCATCAATCTCACTTTTTTGGCAACCTCCTCGGCTAACTCCTTTAAGGGCTAATATTTTGTTGAGCATATTTCTCTCGAGTGCCGTCTTTTGTTCCCAGGTGCTGTTCTGTATACATATATATATATATATTTTTTTTTTTTTGGGGGGGGGGGGGGGGGGTAAAGTTTATTTTTTGACACGCCTGTCCCAACTAGACAGCTCAAAAAAATTTTTTTTTTCTTTTCAGGGGTCAAGTACTTGGCAGCCCTGCAGGATTGTTTCTGCAGTTTCAGCAGTTGCACCAGGAAGCAGTGCTATTTAAAGAAGTATTTCTTAGAACACCGATCGAACATGTTCAGGCATTTACCAAATAGAGAGAGAGAGAGAAAAAAAAAAAAAGAAAAAAAAAAGGCGAGCAAGGTACAGCGGAACTTTGGTGAAGTGAGGTGTGTCGGAACACAAAAAAAAGGCATTTGTTTAAGCGGGCTTTCGAATATTCAAGAACAGAAATAAAATGAAAAAAGTAGGATATAGTATGTAAGGAGCTTGTTGAAGGTAGTAGAATAATGCTCGTGGAAAGGGAGGGGGTGGTTGTAATAAACACTTCCCTTTCTCCCCTTTCCTACGCCGCGTCCTGTCTAGTTCTCCCTTCGTTTTTTGTCCCTGTTGTTTTGGCGTACTACACCATGATGCAAAACCAACTAGCGCAACTAGCCATCCTTATCCCATTTCCTCCGCTGCGAAGGAACGGCAGTCTTTGCAGCGGAGGAAAGGGGAGAAAGGGAAGCCTTCCAAGTTCTTTGTTCTTGCCTTCAATGATGCTTGCCAGACGTACACTGTCTGTTGCGGGTATTGTGCTGTGGTCAGCAGGCTCCAGTGGGTTTTCAGCTGCAGCCGGCATTTCATTTGCGCAACCCACAGCTGGATCGTCCTGCATAGTGATGTCTATTTGTTGGGATCTTAGCGCTGGTTTATCAGCCCTTAGCTGTGGCGGTACACTCTTCTTCGGAGGCTTTCGCACTGTTTTCTCTTTGGAAAAGGAGAAAACGGATGGCACTGCCGTATCACGAAGGAGCTTTCGGCCACTCGCCACACTGGGTATGTAGTCACTTTCATGAAAGTGTTTTGAGCACAGCTTCGTCCACTTGCTGACTTGAAACTCGGGGCCTTCATCCCTTCTGATGGCGAGAATCCATTTTTTGTAGACCATGGAATCTTTAGGGAAGTGATGGAAGGATACCTACAAGAAATAAAGAGAAGAAAAGTTTAATGAAGTATTGAGGCTCACTTTCGACCTGGCTCACAAATAGCCAAGCATAGTTCCGAATCACCAGCAGCGGTCGTGAATGAATGAATGTGTGCAAATGCCATCGCAAGTGTGTTGAGGTACCCCTACAGGCAGCGTGAGCTGAAACACCCGGTTCGGTCTTAGCCTACGTTTGCAGTTTCCACAAGCTTTATAATTTCTCAATTGGTCAAATAGTTCAAAGTATGGCGTCTTAACTATGCATTTCATTATCATATCTAGTCGGAACCACAGCTGTATCAAAAACTGGCAGGTAGGCAAAAGAAGCACGAAGGGCTGTTTCAGTTCATGTCCGCGATAGTAGAGTCGGGTAAGGTTTGTACGCGATCGCGCGGTTCGGCCGCGAACGTGGGCCGGTCCCTCCGTGGCCAAGGGCCCACGGCAAACATCTATTTCGCGACATGTTTCCCTCGCCCACCTTAATCCTACCGCGTCGGCCTGTATGACTACCTCCAAATCGCTCCTGCCGCCAAAATTACATAGTAGTAGCCTTCATATGCAGGACATGGTAATTAAAAATCCGGACTGTTCATCACTACACTTTGCGAGTGTAGTTGCTTTGACAAAGCGAGGGCTGGTTTGTCGGAAACATCTAATCCAGCCGCGACGTCGCCCGGCACGGAGAAAACATCGACTACATTTTATGGCAGTAAAAAGCCGCTACTCCGCCTGTACGTTCATCCAGTTTGGTAGACTCCACGTGCAAGCACAACACCCCGCGCCAGGGTATCGGAACAAAACGAAAACCAAAAACGAAAAACGAAAAAAACGATATTTTTGGGCGGAACGGAAACGTAATCGAAACGTTATTTATTATTTTGTTCCGGAGTGAAACCGAAAAATTTTCTTATCGGTTTTCGGTTCAAGGGAAAATATCAGGTATTTCAGTAATTCGTTTCACGCAGCGAAGAGACAGCCGTTGGTTTGTACAATAATTAAAAAGAAGACAAGCAAGCCATCGCTCCCGCGTCTAAACTCCGGGCGAACAAGCATAGCAAAAACAAAGACAAAAAATACAACGAGAAACAAAAAAAGTGAAAGCCGTTTACAACTCCCTGTAACACCGAATTAGAGCGCAGCTCTTGAGGAGGAGGAGGGAAGGGTATTGGGGGTGAAGTGACCTGGGGGGGGGGGGGGGTCACGTGACCTTGGGGGTCACGTGACGATGCCGATGATGTCATCAGTGACGTCACTGATGACGTCATCCGTGATGATGACGATGACGATGCGGATGCCGGTGAGGTCATCAGTGACGTCACTGATGACGTCATCAGTGATGATGACGATGACGATGTGGATGCCGGTGAGGTCATCAGTGACGTCACTGATGACGTCATCAGTGACGATGACGATGCTGACTCCGATGACGTCGTCAGCGATGATGACGATGACGATGCGGATGTCGATGACGTCATCAGTGGCGTCACTGATGACGTAATCCGCGATGATGACGATGCGGATGCCGGTGACGTCATCAGTGACGTAACTGATGACGTCATCAGGGATGATGACGATGCGGATGCCGGTGAAGTCATCAGTGACGTCACTGATGACGTCATCAGTGATGATGACGATGTGGATGCCGGTGACGTCATCAGTGACTATGACGTCATCGGGGAGGTCACGTGACCTCGGCGAGGGGGTCACGTGACCTCGGGGGGGTCACGTGACCTCGAGGGGTCACATGACTTCGGGTGTCACGTGACCTTGGGGGTCACGTGACCCTGGGGGAGTGGTCACGTAACCTCTGGGGGTCACGTGACCTTGGGAGCCACGTGACCTTGGGATGACCTTGGGTGCCACGCGACCTTGGGATGACCTTGGGGGGGTCGCGTGACCTTGGGGTGACCTTGGTTACGCCGACGGCGACGGCGACGTCGACGCCGCTCAAGCCGGGAACGGGCCCCTAAGAGCTGCGCTCTAAAAACATGATGCAAGGCGCCATTGCTTCCCACCAATGAGAGCGCGGTGGCGCGACGCCTCCACACGCTCGCAATGCTCTCCTTGGCTCTTGCACCCTCTTCCTCCATGCTTTCTTCTGACGACACAGACAGACGACAGATCACGGCAAGCGCGGGAAGTTTGTGACCCGGCGTTGTAGAAGTCTATCTTTTGTTTTTCTACGGATACGGCAGTCTTAGACTCTGTTGCAAAAGCGTACTTCATCCCTATGGGCCTTCAGGGCCTTCTCGGCGCTGAAATTTATTTTATCGGACCAGAGGTCTTGCCTTTCACCAAGCACACTTGATGACGTGCTGCTTCTGAGATCATGCTCGGTACCTTGATCATGATCTCATTCTCAAGGCAATGAACATGATCTCAGAAGCAATGTCGTTTCCGCGGATTCCTCTAGAGCGCCTGAATTATCTATTTTTGTGTAAAAATAAACGTTACGTTCCTTTTAATTTTTGTTGCGATTTTTTTTTTATAGAAAGAAACCGTTACGAACCGTTACGGAGCATTTATTATTCGTTCCGGAGCGGAAACGGAACGGAACTTTTTTGTACGGAACGAAAATGAAAACGGAACGAAAAACATTTCGTTCCAACACCCTGCCCCGCGCACCGTAAAAGACCCTCAATCAGCGTGCTTGCCAACACTCGGTCCGAACGAGAGCAGTATGAAGCGACTTCACGCACCGCTTCGTTCACCGCTAAGAAAGCAAACTTTGTGCCACATACCTTGTTTCCATTGCTGTCCTTCATTACGGGCTGTTTGCACAACGGCGCGCAGCACTGTACAGGCATTTTGCCGGTAACAAACGGAACGGTCTCCTACGATGCACGCTGACCACCATCTGACCACAGACGACCAGGCCGCTCCTCTTTACGCCTACCAGGTGGCGGAGCAAATTTAATAGTTTCGGTTTCGGAATTGAAAAATAAAAACGTTCTAACAAAGTCAATTGTAATTCTGGAAGTTATTTATATCGCTATCTTAGAGTAAAAAATGTTCACTTAAATATTTAAATGGTTGACTTTGAGAAAATTGAGGTCGGATTTCTACTTTGGGGCTAGCGTGACTAGCGCTCAGCCAACGCGCTCAGCCAAGCTAATCCGTGGGGAAATGCGTGATTTGTCTGTCCGCCGGGCCGGCCGGGCGTAGAATGCCCCAACTATGAACAAACTGCCTGCTCGCTACATTAAATCTTGGTGGATGACACTAAACTAAGCTAGGTCGGTGAAGTGTGTTGAAGTAACCGAAGTTGTCATGTTCATCTACCTTGGCATAGCGACTCCCAAGCAAGAAGTTCTGATTCATCGGCAGTGTATTCCTTTTGAAGTTCAAAGCGTTGTCGAGCTCTTATATCGCATTTAGAGGTGTGTGCGTTCCACAACATTGGCACACTAAACCGCTTTGCACGGTGATTTTTTTTATTAATAGCTGAATAACAGAGATCAATTCAATTTAGAACAAAGCTGTGCAACACCTACGCCGAATTTCTTGTGTGTAAATGATTTAAACTCGCTCTTGCATTCCCACCCTATCATCGACCAGACGATCTCTTACTTTCCTGAGTGCTGTCTACAGATAGACACGACATCAACTTCAGAAGCTTCCAGCAGTGTGTCGACCTCGTTGTGAAAGACCAGCAGAATGGCAGTTCACCAGTCACAGTATGTGCCAGCGAAGGAGCCCCCATGCTAAAGTACCGGGTGTTTGAGAGCAAAAATAATTTTCTTATTGCAAAACTAAACAATGCATCGCTAAATGCCCGCCCATACATGACGCTAGAGTGGGAGGTTTTGAATCTTTACCATCTGGTCCCGGCCACTAGTGCCGCTGGTGGTTGGGACCAGAATGTAGAGATTCAAAACTTTCCGTTATCTGATTAAAAAGTTGCGATTTTCGAAAATTCGAAATGAGAGAAAGACGGCCAGCAGAGCCCACAAATACATGGAGGTGAATGGCTTCTACTGCCAATGTGCCCCAATTTCTAATTAAAAATTAAAAAAAAAAGAAAAAAAAAAGAAAAACTGCATATAACTTCTTCATCAGATAACGACTAGTTAGAAAACTTTGATATGTGGCACCAACTGGTAGTGCCGCATTTGAAGGGAGGCGTAGCATTCAACGATGCACAGGAGTTTATATTTGCAGCAAGAAAAACATGGTCCTCTTTTCTCCCAAACACCCGGTACATCTTTTTCAAATCAACTGGGTAAATGGAACCGATGCTAACACAAATTGTTTGTGGGGCCCTCAGACACTGGAAGATGGCTGCATCTTCCACATCACCTGCGACAAGCTCCACTATCTCCTCTGCTCAACAAAGGCTGTTGGAGACGGATCCACCGTCTCAGCTGTTGTTGCTGTCGCATTCTTGGAGGAGTGAGTATGCCTCTTTAGGGGAAAGGTGCATTGCAGTCCGCTAAATATTTGTCTTAGCTTTTATTTTTTTGTGGTCATAAGAAGTAATGTTTTACCAACTCCAGCACGTGCACGAAATGACCTCTGATCGATGTGTCAAAAATGGAAAGCCTGGAGCTTTCTGGAGAATTTAGGTACCTTGGATATGTCAGACTTTGTGCAAAACATTTGAAAAGTGAGGAAAATTATTCTTCCTCAATGTAAAGCAATTTTTTTTTTTTTTTTCACAATATTTTTGGTTTTTTTAATGGAGATTGTGATGTGAGCTGAAAAAAAACAAACAAACAATGGTAAACATGCAGAGAAGTGTTCCTTGAATACCAGTAAACATGACCTAACACCCTGAACAGTAATTCAATTCTAAGCAATCCAGAAGCAACACTTGATGCTGTTAACAGGTAGTGAGTTTCTCGTCGGCTTCAGTTGATTCATGTTTTGAAGAGAACTTGTTTGGTGTGCTGGTAGTTTGATCCGTTATCTGTCGGCAATCGTGCAAGTAGCAGTGTAAGCTTCAAGCACGACGCGTGTTGTTCCTTTGGTGCTCACAGGTGGCCGCAGCATACTTTATTGCATCACTGTTGTCACAATACCGAAAACTTTAAGGAAATACACTTCCTTAAAATTGAAACTTTTTTTTAAGTCACACTTTTTTAACGCGTAGTTTTATCAGCTGCCGAATATCCTGATGGATGTTGTCAGAAAGTTTCACTCCTCCGACTGCAGTATTTTCTCCAGAACAAAATATTTTCGACATGGCGGCGCTGTCAAAGCTGCAGCTTTCTGAGCATTCAAACGTGTTTGTTTCACTTTTTGGCATCATCAGGAAAACAAGTATTTGATAATGAATTGACGTGTGGAGCCAGTTTTTGAAGCTTCTGTACTGAAATTTTATAATGAATGCTACTCTGAGCTTACTTTCTGCATTTTTCATGGCCTTTTGTTTCAAAAAGCTGCAGTATCTTCAACCTAATGCATGCAAAAAAATTAAAAGTTTTTTTTTTTCACATTTTTTTTAATATGTTTTAACTTCCGTAATTTCTTTCCACAGCCGCGTGACACAGTTGTTATGGTGTATGTTTCACCAATAGAACTGGCCATTATCATTACCAATGGTAGTCTTCCTGTGCAGTGTTATTTGATGTACTTTTATGCAACTCTTTAAGGTTAAATTACAAACTCAAAACTATGCATGTCATTCTTTTTCTCGGCTACGAATGTGCCCCTGCAAAGTCTAAGACGAGCGGTTAAAAAGTTCGCCTTCCCGAGTAGCGCCCTCTCTTAAACCACTTTTTTTTTCTCTTTCTGTAAGTTAGGTGTGTTAGTAGAATATTCAGGAACAAATTAGAAAATTCGGGCACACTTGAAGTACAACATCAGTGACCTCTTTCATTCCCCAGATTTCACCGTGTGATCAAAGACTTTTGTGGTTCCGCCTCGGAAGATGGTGTGCGGAGGAATCTGCTCCTTTTGGAGGAAGTCATGGCAGAGGTCATTGTGAGTATCCTCTCGTGCTATGTGACTCGCTCTGGAAAGACGACAGTAGCGAGTGTGGGTGACAGAGCTCTCCGATGCGCAGAACCACGGCCACATCTACACGACTGAACTGAGCAGTCTCAGGCCATGTGTCTACAGCGAAGCGGCTGAGATTGCACACCCTAGAAATGCGTCCATGCTCTCAAGCCTGGCATCACAAGTTCAGGTGATTAACTTTCTTCTAACCTGCCCTTGTGCATGACGCTGGTAGGACTTGTTCGATCCACTTACGAGTACTACTGATGAATAAGTATTTGCGCGAGTAATTTGATTGCCCAGCTTCGAATGTAATTGCCCAATTACCTCGAAAATAACGGAGTGTGCACAGCGAATTGAGATGTTTGTCGTGCGAAATTTAGATATAATGAATTTCAGATATTGGTGAACATAATTTTGGATTTCTGTCGACTTCATAAAATGGGTCCAGCCGCCTTATAATGATAAACACAAAAGTGGGCAGGAAAAAGCACAACCACACACAGTGTCTCAAACTGACACTGCTTTACGAAAATGACTTGCTATAGACAATCAGTAGCATGACTACCACTACTACTGCCGCATACCGTACAAGTTTATAGTTAAAACGCAGGTCAAAGTTTCGATTTAACTCTTAGACTAATTCTGGGGATCCGTCTGGCTTTGGTCCTTCCTTTGCGGGTAGAATGTAGTTTGAGCGTCTTTCTCTTTTTACGTCATGTGCAGGAGCAAAAGGGGCTCATGCCAAATGCAGCGTCGGTGAGACCCGTCTTCGCACCCAGATCTGACAGACAGGTTTGTTTTGGAGCACCGTGACGTGGCCTAATGTTTCCAGCTTAAGACTCACCCTTACCGTGGTGGGAAAAAGGGGCTTTTTGGAAGTTTCGGAGCCAAACATTTCACCAACAGTATTTCTTCAAGGCCAAGTCTTCGAGGCTAGGTCTTCGAGGATGTGTTCTTAAACACGAAAGCTTGTTCATGCGCATGCAACTGCTCACGACCGGGGGCCTTACGAACCCCTGTGATCTCTCGCAACGAGAGGCCACGGTGGCGTCATCTATTGGGTAACTGTGGAACACTAGTCATTTCCCTGTACCATATTTTCTTTCTTTTTTTTTGTGCATCATTCTTTTGCATTGGCATGGGCGTACCAACCGGTGGGGAAGGGGGGCACTTGTCCTCCCAGTTCTCAGAGTGGGGGGGCAAGGCATGTGTTTTGCCCCCCCCTGAAACAGCTGCCACTGTGCAGAGCAAACACTGGCCGGCGGCGCCCGAGGGATACCAAGGGCACCGCTCCTCGGCCCTGGGGGTATCTGGTCTGGTTTGCCCCCCCCCCCCCCCCCACTCAAAAGCAAGTTGGTACGCCACTGGCCATTGGCTAGAAACAGTTTTGACAATGTTGTGAATGACTCTTTCTCATAGGTGGTATACTTACGTTTGATATAGTAGATACTGCAAAATCTTCACTCTGACGAAATGCAGTTCCAGGGTCAACTCATAGATGGTGCCAGCGTCTATGAGGCCCAAGTCTGCTAACAAATGTCGACTGCAACTCTGAGACTTCCTGAAGCTTCCTTGCCGGGTTCTTTTTCCCTCTGCTACTTTCATGACTTGTTTTCAATCTCGTTATGAACGACTAGAAAAGAAAAAAATGTGATACTATTGAGGAAAAAGCAGTGACGGAGAGCGCCGAGACTGGGCTCAGTGCTATATATCTTGACGGACACTTCTTGCTTATTTAAGTTTACAGTTGAAGATACATTTTTGTTGAACAGTGCTAAGTGAAAGTGGCCGTTGAATAGTGGGCTCACATTTCTTCCAAGGATGTATTTGACTAGGTGGTCCAATTATCGTACTATGTATTCAAAGTTAAGACATCGACTCACTCTGTCTAAAAGAGATACAAATTATAGTAACGAATTTATTTCTTGGCAGGATGACAGCCCTAAAGGGCATGTTGCTTAGCAACCTTACTAGTGTACCTTCAAGATGTACTCCTTAACAATCAAATCAAATCAAACTTGGGGGTTTTACGTGCCAAACCAACAACGGGCATCTGGCATGCCCCAGCGAAGGACTGAGGATTAATTTGGACCACCTGGGGTATCTTTTGCCTTTTTCACAACCTCCTTGTCCGCAACAAGCCTCCGTTATGTTGTGGAATGGCCGAAATTCAAACCCGCCACCTGGGGATCCGCAGGCCAGCGCTTTGCCTTGGAGCCACCGAGGCAGCACTCCCCTTAATAATGTCGGCTCGTTTCAGCACACTTCTGCTTACTGAGATTTTTCATAAAGAGATAGGCAATCCTCAATTCATTTGAATCGGCTGTCCTGCCATAAAAAACAACAGGTTTTGATGTTTCATTATGACGATTGGAGGATTAAAGCACATATTCAATAAATACTCTGTTGTGTTGTGCCCAGTTTCCGATTCATGTGGCACATTTTGTGTTGCCACCTTTCTCTTTAGACAAGTTTGGATAAAGCGAAAAGTTGTCTCCAAAACTAGGACAAGCATTGAATCTGCTTTTTTTGTTTGTTTGTCTAGCAGCACAGGCAGAGAGGTGACATCTTTGTCGACGTCATCGAGAAACTTTTTGCAACCATTTCAAAGGAGGTAAATCTTCTCTTCTATTGATTACTGGGACTTCTAGCCAAGTTGAAGACCTCAAGAAGTGGGGGACCAATTGATTGTTGATAAATCAGTTCAAGGCGCCTTACCGAAACTGTCATATTTTTTTTCTTTGACACGGTGAGAACAGGGGTTTCTGTTCAGTGTGTCTTTCATGCAGCTCATCTTGCCGCTTTGAGGCACTCAAAGCAATATCGGTTGCTTTCATTCCTTTATGTTTTGTGCAAATTTGGTTGCATTTAGAACATGGACTGTCCTGCAGTGTCTCATTTTGTGAAAAAGAAAGTATATCCTGATTTCTTTTACACCACTTTCTTTTATATGACTGGTACCCCGAAACTTGATTGCCATTGAACAGCATCTTTGCAGGTGTGCATGACTAATGCTAGTTCTTTATTTTATTTATATATTATTTACATCGCCCCGAAGGGCATTACAGTAGGGGGAGTCATAATACCAAAAAATGGATTTCTTAACACACCATAGGTTATCAAGACACATAAGTACGCAAAGTAATGTAAAAAAAACTCTCACACGCATATAAACATACATATACATAGAAAAGAAACAACCTTAGTCCGCATGGAAAAAAAACAAAACAAAACACAAATGCGTTAATAATATATTTACACTCAAATACATTGATCAGAGACAGTGCTGGAGTTGCGAAAAAAACGAATCTGGTCTTTGCAAGGCAACAATCTTGCTTGGCAAGCTGTTCCATCCTTTTATCGTTCATGGGAAGAAAGAGTTACGAAGCAAATCTGACTTTGAAGTGTTCTCCCAATGGCTGATTGTAAAGAAGAACTAATGTCAACAACCTTAATAAAATGTTGCATTGAGCATTCAGCGTGCTGCGACACAGACAAAAAGCCCGCAGGTCTGTACCTTGGCTCAAACAAGTACATATATAAACATATGTACTTGGCTCAAACATATTTTGCATTGATAGTAATAAGAACTTAGTTAAGATTAATAAATCAACACGAAAGATAGAAACAGAGGAGAGTTATCTGGGTAGGAAAGAAAGACATTTAACTGAGACTACACTAATTAAGAGAAGAAAGCCGAACTATGATGAGACTTCAGTGCGCACAAGAGCCGTTTCAACAGCTGTTTGATATTTTTCAACTTTCATGGGGCAAAAGATAGACGCACGACTAAAGGCCCATTCACACTTTTGCAACCAAGTACGACCGAGAGAGACCGGACCGATTTTTAAGCCTTTTGCGATCTCTTAGGACCAGCTCCGCTGCAGCGCATCCGGTCCTAAGATGTCGCAAGAGGCTTAAAAATCGGTCTGGTCTCTGTTGGTCTTACTCGGTTGCATATATGTGAACGGCGCTTTATCCAACAAGCGCGTAGCTTCCACCGCTGAATGGAGCATGACTGCGGTTCTGTGTTTTGGATAAATACCTATGAACCCTGCAAATTAACCATAAAGCCGATTTCATCAAGATCGGGATCCCCTTTAAGAAGCTCGAACTCGAGCTGTCTCAAACAAGAAAAAGCCAAGCTTCACGGGAAGAAACCTTTATCTACAGCTCTATGTTGTGCAGGCTCGGAGCACAGCCCCTCTTGCATTGTCGAGGAGGCTGCTTGTTTCTTCGAAACCACACCTCTTGTTCCCTCCTCTTATCGGTACGGGGATATGTGTTCAAAGTGTTCAAGTCACGTGCATGTCCCCCGGAGGTCAGGGAAGCCCGTGTCCTGCTTTCTGCAAAATACGCCCCAATAAATACGGATCTCTCTGTCCGACGCCGAATCTGTGGGATGAGGCAAACTGTGACACAAATACTGCCGAACTTGAAGGAAAATAAACCCCGAAAACAGCTGGGAAACCCCAAATGTGATTCTGTCGTTTCCTCCCGGCGTTTTTCTTGTTTCAGGGAAAACTGCTCAACTTCCAGCTGGATGGCACGGTCAACCTGAGGAGCTGCCTGGAGTCTCAAGTCGACGTCACTCTCGGCCTCAATGAAAACCTGGTCCTGGCCGACTCTGCCCTCCAGGCTGGTGAGTCTAGGCGGCGGTCAAAAGCACGGGTTTTTAGAGGGGCGGCCCGTTTCTCCTTCGTGAAGGCTTGAGAGGTTGATGAAAGAGCTGCCAATTACCGTGCAACAGTAATGGACCACAAAGTCTCTTCGTTTGCTTTTTTTTATTTATTTTGTCACTCGTGAACATTGGAATAATGAGAAGGCTGGTTTATTGCATCCAGAAAGGAAAAAAAAAAAGAAGAAAGAATGGCAAAATACTTTAAAGGTAAAAAAAAAGTTGTTGAAGTTTGGAAACATTTGAAAATATGCGTCAGCAACAGTAATCTAGCAATTTTTCGAAAGATACCGACATAGATCAACGATGGCAAGAGTTTTTTTCCCAGTTCTTGCACTAGTATTATTGCCTTATATTATTTTTTTATCTTTACGACAGCTTTATCAATTTAGCGTATCTTTGACTATAAACGTAGCAATAGCAATACTCTTAATCATACTAGATGCTCTATTGGGTTTATTGTAACGGTTAACCTTCAGCCACTGTTCGTTGATTCTTATGTTACATTACACAAAAGTATGTATATGTTGGTGCAGTACCGAAAGCTCGGTTGCGTGTTATTCAAGTCCCATGGTTCTGGTTGACTAAGGGCATGACTATGTATTATCCGGGAAACGTGCAATAGATGGCATGCAAAATTGGCTTTTTCACACGCATGCACACACTACAGAACAAGTCTCAGGTAGAACTAAGTTAACACTTCTGTTTTAAAGTTTTTGAAATTTTATTTTGATATGTTTTGAACATTTATAGCCATAGTGCTATAAATGTTCTTAGTTCATACTGAACGGCAGAACAATGCTCATGTGGTGTATGCTTTTAGGGTAAAGCAAAAACTTTGATGACGGATAGAGGCAGCAGACAACCAGAGGCGCTTGTGCTTCCTCCCGATTTCTCTCTCGCTCTGTCATAGCGCCCTCTTTTTATCGACCAACGAATCTAATATGGTATAGTGCATTTAATCTTCCATCTGAACTGTCGACGAAATGACGCACAATCTGATCACTATTAGTTTTGACATAGCGATTGACGTCAATTTTACCGTACATTGTAGAAATTTGAATAATAGGCTTCTTAATAATTGAAATCAATCGAATCTCTTTTTTGTTTGCATTTTTTTAACGCTTTTTATGCAAAAGAAAAATAACCTTGTACGTCCTAAAAGCAGTCCCTTCAGGTCGGGCTCCTAGCAATCTGCACCCGAAGTAGACAAGTGAGGTTTGAGCCTCCCGGTGCGTTGCAACAAGTTACAAGGTGCAACACCATTGGCCCGAACAAGAAATCATCGGCGACATTTTCCCCTTTTTTTTCTTCTTTACATTAGAAAGGCTGTACTAGAAATTACTGTAGTGCGGTGGAAAGCATTCATTTGCGATGCCAGCGGAAAGGCACACTGGATCACTTGTTCCGGGCAAAATGCGAAAAAGCGCCTGCGTCTTGCTTGCACTAACCCAGTTGTGCGATGCTTACATGAAGGAAAAACAAGAAAATATTGCAATGGTACATTTTCTGGCATTTGATTCGAAAGCCGTGTCACATCCGTCGACTGTTTTGTTTTGGCGCAAGACACCCATTTAACCCCCTTTTCCCCCTCTTTTTCCCGCCAGAGACTGATGAGACTGATGTGGTTAGGGAGTGACACCTTTTCGTTTTGCAAGGCATTTGACAAGTAGTTGAAAGTAATGTGGACGATTGCACAGTGGCAATGGCTCAATCTCTTTAAAGAAAAGTGCTTGTTGTCTCTATTAATTGTTTTACTTACTCTGTATACGTCATGCACAAAACTCGGGACAATAGGAGCTGGTTCAGGCATTCGTCTTTGAGCCTACTCAATTGCTACACTGAGACGAGTGGCTGTGTCACCCGGGAAATAGGATTTTAATTTTAAACAGATACGTAGTCACTAATTGGCTTCAAATTGGTTCAACACATCAATAGACAAATTTGAACTAGTGACCCAAATTATAGGTCAAAGCATTTTTTTTCACAAAGTTATTGAGTTTTTAATATTGGTTCAAATTTGGACATGCCCGCGTGCATTTCAGCATCCTACAGCACAGACGTCGTGCTGTCCAGTTACATCATTCACGACTCCGTGAACATGGACAGCTTCAGTGAACACCGCACGCTCGTCGTCCGCTCGCCGCAAGGAGAGGTGAGTTGGCGCTAGCTCTTTGCGTTGTTTGCATGCTCGATCTGCCCTACCCTTTTCACCTCCACAAACAGCCTTTTAAGAAGCAGAAGCTTGTAGGCTATTTGAAAGCACCATTTCTGCAGGATTCCTCATTTTGGCCATATGCTAGCTTGACATGTGCAGAATCTACCCCAAACTAGAAATCAGCGAAATCAGCCAGCGACTGAAGTGGTCTCCCTCTATACAGTGTAGACCGCATATAACGTATGTCGCGGGAGTCGCGAAAATCCGCACTATAAGCGGTACCGCGCTATAACCAAAACATAAATTTTTCAGGCCAAAATACATGCCATCAGACAACTTACCTTTGTAAAAGAATTTATTTTATGTTAGATGAAAAATAAAGCTTAGTTTGAGGAAAGTTTTTATTTCACCAGACTAGTACACTTCTCTCTCAAGTGTGTCACACATTTTGCAAGAAATGAGTGACTTTTGCCTGGCGCAGCCTTTTAACGGCGTCGCGGGTTGCGTACGGACGTTGCGAGCGTTGAGGATTGCTAACCCTAATCACTTCTCTCCGGCGATGAAAACGCGTGAAAATTTGAATTCTTTATACGGTACGGGCCAGTAATACCTTCAACCTGAGCTTAGGCATGAAATGCTCCAAATAAGAAATCCGGGCGATGTTTGAAAACACAAATGCTTAGAAAGCACCACTGTAGTCGAAGTAAACAAACACGACGACAAGGGCGTTTCTGCCGTCTTGAGAGTGCCGCCACAACATCGCTGCACGAGTAGGTGGATCTTCCCTTCTAGTACGTGCTGGGTCATCATAGCAACACACAACGAAAATTCACAGTCAAGGATAGCGCTTTTACGCGGAGCGATGAGCTTCCACCACGCCATCTACGTCGACGATCACAACTGACGCCATGTTCGCGGATAGAAGCAGCCAGCCCGCGACCAGCATGCAACGCGCGCGAACACTTCTCCTCGACTTGCGATTGGTCTGTCGTTGCGGTTGTTTGTTTCCAACGCAGCAAAGGGATGCACGCACGTTAACAACACGTGCGTGCGTCCCTCCGTCGCTCTCTTCGCTTCTCCCCGCTTCTTCGAGCAACCTCCTTGCCCCACGAGTGCCGCTTGCGGCTCGCGCCGTTATCTAGTGTCGCACAGGGAAGCGTGCTCGCAGCGCCAGTTCGTCGGCGCGCTGTTCCAAAAACCGCACTATAACCGGTATTTCCCTTTGTGCGCCTGCACTTTAAGCGGTATGTAAATACGTGGAGTTCTATGGGAGGCGAACCGGTGGTTTAAAAAAGCCGCATTATACCCGGTCCTGCACTATAAGCGGTTACGTTGTAAGTGGTCTATACTGTATACGGGCCGAGACGTCCCAACATAACAAGAACACTAGCCCAGAGATTGCCAATTTGATTGTTTTGACCCATGCCAGTGGTTTACGCATCTCCAACGGAGCTGTCTCTGAATCAGCATGGGCCCTACAAACGCTGCTGTGGGATCCGAATGGCCCGCAGACCACATATTGGGAACCGTTGCTTCGAACCAAGGACCTATAGTTGCCTTTATATTTTTAATGCCATGTGCAGTATTGCTTTTGCTCCGACTGCATTTGAGTCCCTTGTATTGCCGCGAGCATGGCCAAGTTGGCTGTATTCCATCAGCACAAAATGAAACGCGAATGCCGGAATGCGTGGCCTTTGCTGCGTGCGGCACTACCTAGCAGCCGATAACTGCGGAGTGGAGAGGGAGCTGTAAGGTGCCTGCTTTCTCTGATGCGCACACCCTCGCAGCCCTCTTTTCACTGCACAGTTTTATCGCCTCCAAATCGCGTAGCATGTACCGAAGGCCATGCTTTCTAGTGTTTGCATTTTGTTCTGTGCTGATAGGACATGCGGCTTTCACGTCCGAATACCACCAGTGTAGCTTTAAATGCTTTAGCATTTATTGCCCCTGTGCATGCAGCCGTTTCTCATTTGGACTGTCGTGGTTTGAACTGGAGGACCGGTTTTGTGAGGCTGCAGCGTGGTTTCCGCCGGGCTCTTTCGCTCCATTCGTTCGCTCGGTACGTCCACTTGTGAAAGAGTCTTCTGGCACACTTCCACCGACACGCCGCGGGAGCGAGAGAGGAGGGGATTGAGCAGCCATGGCAGTGGCACAACGTATGCGACAACATAAAATCGAGGCGCAGCGATGACGTGAAACTGCCGACGCTCGGGAGAACAGACTGGCTCTCCGAAGACAGCAGTATGCAGACCGTTACGAGGTTGGAATTCCCATGCTTTGCCGAGTCGGAACCCCCGCGCCAAGTGCTAAAGCATTTCGTTGAGAATCGGCGTAGTGACAGCAGCGATTTTGGCGGCATTTCTTTTCTTTTGTTTCCCCCTCTGGAAACTTCCAGTTAAGTCTCGTGTAGTTGTAGTCTGTTCCGGTTTAGAGCATTCCTGAACATGGGGCAGGGATTAAAGCAGCTGTAGCGTGCTGCATCCAGTCAGTCTTATCGTAGCGCTTGACACTGCTCTTACGCCGACTTGGACGCCTGCGATGCCCGTCATTTAATTTTTGTTTTGGTGCAAGTTCCGTTGCATTAAACCTCCAGTTTTCCAGTTCTTCCTGCCTCATCCCTTCTCATTCCTGACAGCACCAATGTCTTTGTCCCGTGCTGTGTCTCAGGTCCCTGTCCTGCGGTACCAGACGACAGACCTGCCTCACAATGGGCTCCCCTTTACCATCACTACAGCCGTCGAAGAGGTGTCTAATTCAAGGTGAGACGTCCATGTGAGAGGCTGTCACAAAGTAAGGGTTTAGAACTAATTTGGGCAGAAAGCGCTGAATGCACAGAACAGCCTCTTTTGCTGCAATTTACTGTATAGTCACTGAGAGAGCTTGAAGCGTAGGGCACCTCTTTTGAATGCCCAGCCTCCAGTTCGTGCTCGTTGCCTTCTGCCATGCTTTGGCTGCGCATATGTACACTCGGATTTCGTTACACTGTAGCTGGGTGCCCTGTAATGTTCATTACACTCTAATTGTGAAATCTGAAATCCTGCCCACCATTAGGAAGCTGCAGCGTTTACATTACCATGCTAACATGGGCTATGACGTTAGGCCTATTTCGGCTCAACCCTATATTTTGGTTTAGCAACCATCCCCGTAATAATCAATTGACCGTATCTACCTACAGTTCGTTTGGTTGTCTTGTCTGGTGTCGACATGACTGTGAGCAGCCAATAAGTTGGCTTCGACTCTAATCAGATACAAGTTAGGGGGGCAGTGACGATATTCATTTGGAATGTTCTGCACTTCACACAAGCTTATTTTCAACAGCGGGGCCTAAGTATACTGACCAAAAAGCTTGTATTTGTTTCGCTGTAATTTCGAGGATAGAAGCAAACATTTTGTCTCAATCTCTCCTTCGTAAGACTTGAACACATAGCTTGGAGGTCGCATTGTTGGCATTGGAGCACTGCACGGACCTATTGTAGAATACCGCACATCCGCCCATTCCGCACTAAGCGCTCATTTCCAAATTTGTAAGATGTGAGAAGATATGCACAGTAGACTTATACGTAAAATTTATGACTGGACAAATGCCCATCCCCCATTTGTTTGCAATAGACCGATCTGAGTAAGTGCTAGGCGCATGCGTGTTGCCGCCACAACTTTAGTTCACAGGAGGCAGATGTCCGTGCATGTGAGGGCTCGTGCCTTCTCGTGCTTCACATGCGGAGAGCTCTAGCGGGGTTGTTGCACATGCAGAAAGACTGAAGTCCCCTCGATGCATTGCGGCAGCGGTAGCGTAATCAAACTGGCCAGTGAGATCGGTCTATTATCTCCGAATTTTGAGTGGTTGCTTGCCCGGTATTTCACGGTACCTTTTGAGGCCCGACCTGGCCCGGTCCTGTTGACTCTCGTTCTTACTCGACCCGAGCCCCGCCTGGTTGGAGTTGCCTCGACAGTGGGAGATGAAGCTCGCCTCGGGTATGGGCTCGGGCCTGTGCAGAGCTCTAGTCGGCATAGTCCCCCAAGTGACGATATTTGAGTGCAGCTCATAGATTGGACACGAGCATTCCGTGAGCACTCAATTTGGGCTCGCAATGATTGATAGTTCGGTAAGCGTTCGGGTTGTGACTCATGTCCGAAACTCGGCGCATAATCAGCCCCAGACTACATGACCACTTGTTGTGGCTGCAAGTTAAGGTGTTGCTAGTTTTTTTTCAACATTTCCTGCGACTATCATCGTGTTGTGATTAAAATTGACGCGCGTTTCATAGGTTACAAACCTCGGGGATTTGTGCTAAGCGGTATCTGTGCAAATTACAAAAATCGTTGCACCACCCTTTTAAGAACGTGTCAGAAGCTTCTCCCACTGTTCCTCCTCTCAAGTCTGCTACCGAGGCTATTGTGTATCTTTTGAGGGTGCAGCCATTTTAAAAACATCGCGCCGATGCCACATTTTGTCTTGGCTGCTGCCTTTCCTGCTTGGTTTTACAGAGCGATGCTATTCAGCGGGTATTATGGGGCGGTGTTTAGTTTAGTCTAACTTTAATGTACTAATTCACAATGTGGGTACAAGCTCTAATTCAGTGCCTGTTTGTGGTGTCCATTTGTGTTTTCACTCCGACCGACTTTGACGCAGAAGAAGTGCTTTTGCAGGGACCTGGAGCTGACTGTCAGGCTGAGGTGCGAGGGCAACCCCGCCTCGGAAGCCGTCGACACCACAGTGCAGATTCCCGTACCATCTAATACTACGGGGTGAGTGGCGGGAGGTCCTTATCAAGTTCCTACACGTCGTAAGGTGATAAGGAACCATCAGCGTAAGACCCCGTTCAACATGCTGCACTTTCTGTCTGTCTTTCCTCTTCTCGTACATTCGGGTGGGGAGAAGCGTTAGTTTTCGCCTCGACCACCTCAATGGTCAATAGTGCGTCTTGTTTGTTGGAAGCAAATTTCAAGAAATACCCTCACCATATTGGTCTCGGGTCATTTGGGGGGAGGATATGGGATGAGGGAGGGTGAAATGTTAAAGGGGTGTTGGTTGCCTACCCCTCTAATAAATTTCAGAAAGGAGTCCAGAGGTAATCTCCAGAGGTAGTCTTAGTTGCATCATCTAAATTATTTCATAGAGCACCGAAATTTTATTTTATTTCCATGTTTGATCACGGAGCCCTCAGCTAATCACTGTTGCCTCAATAAAAGTGACTTTGAGCGCTGATTGAGCTCATCTTTTCTTCTATGGCACCAGGGTGCGTAAACCAATAATAAAGTCAGCCACGTGCAACCATGACTAAAGCCCAATAGGAATGGGGGAAAAAAAGGTATAGAAAAAACTCACTGACACACTGTGTTTTACGTGCAAGTACCTCTTTCTGCAAGGGTACAACATTTTCTTGGTATTGAAGTTTAGTTGCTAATGCGATTTGCCTGCGCTCTCATTCTTCATTCGGTTTGCAATATTGCGACAGGATGTTTTAAATGCTGAATTTTCACAATTATTTCTCCCAGTTCCTGGATGCTGAAGTGCTTTGTGCAAGCTTTATTTTATCGTTTGCCGGTTTCCGTGAAAAGTAATGTCGCTTGCATGTAATGATCGTTGCTGCTGCGCCTGACATAAGTTAGAATTTTCCAGCTTTATAAAACAGTCCTAATGTTACATGACAGGGCATTTTGAAACTCACTGCATGCTTTCGTACACACATTTAAGGCAATCAAGAACTCTAACCATACACCTTCGGGACCAGGTCAGCTTACGCTTGAGTCCCGGCAAGGACCTGCCTTGTTTATACACACACACAGATGTATTGAGCTTTGGTGATGTCACGCAGCCCCGATGCATAGTTGCTGGGAAAAGTACCCAAAAAGCAGTTCATTTCCCTTTGGCACGTTGGGTGAAACATGACTCTTGAAGAAATATTTTTCCGATTCTTCTCCGAGACCAGCGCTGCATTGTTGTCAAAGTCTATTTTGTGGCCGAAATATCGGGATTGTTTATTAAATTTGCAACTAGAGTTTTTAATTGCCGTTTATGTCACTTCTTGACCAGACAGAGAGGTGCCAAACAATTACCCTTGTACACATATGTACCCACATATGTGCATTCGTACACACGTGTACGAAAGCATGCATATTCGTATAGGTGTGCAAAAAAACATTGCACTCAAACCGAAATAGGCAAAAGTGACTTTACAAACATAAAAATCATATTCAATTTCACAACATAGCTTTTCTCAATTTTTTCTGCAAATATTCAAGAAGTATTCTCAATAGACATTTGAAATATTTTTAGTTGGGAACTCTCCATGCGCTTGAAATCAACCGAGTGTGGCAAAAGACGTGCTTTTTTTCATGTTGTCAACAATGAAGTGGGAGACAGAAACAAATTGGAGAGATTGCAGACGGTGATGTTCTTAAATTTTTATTTGGCAGAATTTAGTTTTACAAACTACAGTAAAACCTCGTTATAACAAAGTTGAAGGAGCGGTCGAAATTATTTCGTTATAACCATTAGTTTGTTATAGTCGATGTCCATTTCTTCCCACTATTAGCAAGCTAGGGGAATTACGATTGCTTTGTTATATCCATTACTTTGTTATATCCCATTTTGTTATAACGAGGTTTTACTGTATGCGCACCTAAATATTTGTACAAAGGTTGGGGTTAAGACATCATTAATGCACAGTGGAGCAGTCAACTCCATACGAAAAACAAACTTCCTCTTGCAGCTCTCCGGCTTCTGTAGACGTTCAGCTTCTTTACCTCTGGCCAGGAAAGGCCAATCACTCCTAACTGGTGCTATGTGACGAACTTCCGCCCCATAATTGGCTGGCAGACAACGTAAACATCTGCCAAGCCCTCAACGACCGCGACAAACCAGGGTGTTGGAAGAAAATATTTTTTTTTGTTCTCGTTTCAGTTTTGTTCCATAGAAGTATGTCACATTCAGATTCTGCTCCAAAACGAAAGAACATGTTCGCTTGCAAAAAAAAATGAAAATTCAATATTAGAAAAAAAAGAAAAACGCTTATTTTTATTAAGAAGTAGGTAATTAAAAAGTTACAGCAGGTGTGCTCATATTGCAAAGATAGAAAATGAAAGAATGGGGGTAAAAAGTCATCACGAGGAGGAACGACCCGAGGCACTAAGCATGATCTTGGAAGCAACACATGCTCAAGTGTACTCAGTGAAATGTGAGACCTCTGTTCCAGTTAAATAAATTTGAGCGCCGAGAATGCCGTCTTCACGCTGACCTGTGTGGATGATATACCGAGGGCTGCCTGCGCTAAAGTGTACAGTTTCGATTGGCACTGCTTTCGTTCTTACCAAAATTTCAATACATTCATGGTTCTTTGAAGGCGTGGCTCCTTGTCCAGCATTTTGAGCTATGTCCAGTGGACCTAGCTCGCTCGTCAAATGAGGGTGCGCTCCAGCCTCAGCTTCTTTGTCCTTGAGAAACACCTCGAGGGCATCTTCTGGTTCCTCTGGGGGCCAGACAATATTAAAATACCTGAACTTTCCTCTTGCGCCAAAAACTGCTAAGAAAATATTTTTGGTTTCACTCCAGAACAAAATACTAATAATGTTTCGATTACATTTTCGTTCCGCCTAAAAATATTGTTATTTTTTGTTTTTCTGTTTTGTTTTTGTTCTGTTCCGACACCCTGCTACAAACATTTCTGACCGCCACGTCAGGACTGCTCGGATCAAATAACACGAGCCCTGAGCAAACAACACGGCAGCGGCGAAAACAATGCCAAAGAAAAAAGGCAGACTCAAGCCAGTGGCGTAGCCATGGGAGGGACTTGTGGGACTACTGATCTCTATTGTAGGAGGCTGGGTCGTGGATTGGGAGCCCGTCGGTAGCACCACTGACGGCGATTGCTTGACACTGGCAATACTATGGGACAAACACACAAACGTAGGATAATTGAAGCTTCTATGCAGTGCTCGAAGATGGGTATTTTATTTGCTGCGATCATTATATCATGGGTTTGGAGGTTGAATCGGTATTTGTCAAGCGTTCCAACACCGACTAAAAAAATCTAATGTGCCGGAGCATCATTAACTGTGCCGGCGTCGCTTGCTTCAATCGCTAAGTAAATGACAGATTCAACAAATGAATGATTCGCTCGACTTTTAGTTCATCACAGAAGCCCTCACTGCAGTTCAAAGCAAAAGCTTGCACCAGAACTGCTTTGTACATGCGCTCGAAAACGATGCGAACGCCCCCGATAAATGCAGTTCAACTTATCGTCTGATAAGCTCTGATGACTTCGAGATCACAAACGACTCGACACGACTCTCGGCAGCCCTTGTCTTACTGAACCGTATCACAATTCGCACCCAATAAAGTTGAAACCCTCGACCTGCAACCGCAAAACATTTATTTAAAAAGATATTGGTATTCTACCGCTTTTAAGTGCACAGAATATGAACTGACATTCATGGAAAACACGATAAAAGTTCCATCGTCGAGAACAACCGACTAAGGTAAGAAATTGCAGTTTTCCCTGCTTTTCCTATAGAGTCCCATACATTAGCTGGTGTCAAGCGACGACTGCCGGTGGTGCCGCTCAACCCCAGCAAGACAAGCCTCGATTTGCGATCCAACCTACCACAAAGAGATCAACGTATGAGACTTCAGCCCTCCCACCTCCCCGGCACCCCAAGTCATGGACGTTCCACCAACCTCAGCCCCCCTTGAAAAAATTTGTGGCTATGCCACTGACTCGAGCAAACAATATGCAGCATTACACACACAAAAAAAAGCGTTGCCAATTTTACATTTTTTTTTTCACACAGCGCTTGCCTAAACGACGACTGCATGATTTACTTGCAGCTTTGCCCACATCCCTGAATAAAATAAACACAAAAAGAAACTTAATCTGCGAAGCACGCACCCCGAGAGTTTGAGCACGGCTGAAAGAAATAGGGTCATACAAGTAGTCCGTTGCTGCGCACAAACAGAAGATGACTGCAATTGTTAAATAATTATGAAAGGTTGCTCACAGATGGTGCCACGGGATAGATGGTAAAATTCATTGGGAAAGGCAATTTTCAGGCGTTTCCGTATTGAAATATATGGAATGAGGATCTTGTGTGAGATATGTTAAGAAAAAAATTACTTTCCGTAACGCCTTGTCAGAAAATCGATTAGTGCCTCTGTTTTCTTCGGAACTGCTCACGAATGGCAGGTTGAAAAAGGGGTCAGTTTGAAGGAATTCAAGCTCCCGTAGGAAATCTCTAGTCCAAAATCGGAAAATGTGCAACCGCGCTGCAAATTGTATTTTTAGAGTGCAGCTCTTAGGTGCCCGTTTCCGGCTTGAGCAGTGCTGGCGTAACCGCGCGTTACATTATCGGACGTTTCCCATAATGACGTCACGAAGGTCACGACCTTCGCTCGTGAAGGTCACAGCCTTGACAAAGGTCACGACCTTGACGAGGGTCACGAGGGGGACGAGGGAGGGAAGAAAAAAAGAAAGAAAGAAAGAAGGAAGGGAGGGGAGGTGGAGAAGGAGAGTGTACAGAGGAGGAGGAGGGGCATACCCTCCTCTCCGTACTGTCCCCTCCTCCTCAAGAGCTACGCTCTTAATTCGGCATTACAGAGAATTGTAAATGTCTTTCATTGTTTATTCTCCTTTTAATAAAATGATCCCAAAGTCACGTCGTCCGGTGGCTACTGAGCTGCCGGATGAAAAAGTTGCCATTGGAAATACATGGGGCCTAGGGAGCTGCGATAGCCTCATAACGAGATGCAATACGCTGTCGTAAATCAAAGCAGGCGACAGTATTTGACAAATCTAGTCTAAACATTGTTGCTGTAGTCTCCCAATACAGTGCCCTTGTGCCCCTGCCACTTTGATTTTGTCAAAACATTCGGAGAAGCAAATACGACTACCCTCACCAGGAAAACAATTTAAATGAATCTAACATATATTTTTACCCAGAAAAAACCATCACGTTCAGTGTTCCTGGACGGACTAGGGGCGGTAGTAAATATAACTGGACTTAAACAAAATTGTTTTGCCTCTTTACCTTGCTTCAAACCTCCAAGGCCAGAAATTCAGAGCTCATACAAGTTCTATTACATAGCAGTCATTATGTCAGTGCCTGTTGTAAATGAAGTCCATATTCTTTTACTTTGGACTCCTTCAATTAGATTCATGTCTGGCATCTTTTTAAGGGAACTTGTCGGCCGTCTCGACACTTTTTCCGCAGCTTGATGAAGCGCTTCAACGAGCTTGAGCAGACGGTCGAGTTCCAGCGGGAATCTAGGAAGCTTGTCTGGAGGATCAAGAGGCTTCAGGCCAAATCTGAGGCCCTGGCAAAATTCAGAGTGAGTGCTTTCCGCTCTCTGTGCTTACCTACACCGAGATGTATTCAAGTCCTCGAGACAATTGTTTTTCCTTCCCAACTACCGGGAATGAGCCCCATTTTCCCATCAAAAGTTTCAGAATATTCTTTATAGCATTTGAATAAGATAACGGTTAGTTCTGACGTTTTGGCATCTTGTTCGGACTGCTGGCGCTGCTTTTTTGTCCGAGATTGAGCGTTTGGTGGTGCACAGTTTATTTTTGCGGTGGAAAAAACACAGGAAACTTTTTCGGGGACAAATATTTTCAAAACAAAAATGACAAAACTCGAACCGGGGTTCTTTCTGTCTCGTGGCACCACTTGTTTGCAGGGTAGAAACCGCGCACTATGGCGCTGTCACACCTCTCATATTTGACAAAAATGTCTAAGCCAGACGATTTTGTTTTCTTCTATATAAAAAAAAAATAAAATACTTTTGTGACAAGTTTCTTCCATATATATGAGAATAAATAATATTTCCCCGAATATAGGTCAATTGTTTTTTCAGTTTATAATTGAGCTTGATCTATAATTGTGCGTGCGTCAGTGCAATGCGGTGAAGCTAGACGTGCGCACGACTGTGTAATGCAGTTAAGCTTGATGGAGAGCATTGGTGCAAAGCGGTTAAGCTTGACTTGAGCAGTGCAGCTCTCGGGCTTGGTGATGCTTGGTTGACCGTTCTGAAAGTTTGGATTATGATGTGGCCAGCATGATTAATACGTAAGCGTTAGCTAGAGTGACTGCTTAAGATACCGAGTATGCGCCTACGTCACAATAAAAACCCACCTACAACTTTCAAAACATTAAAACAAAATCAAAGGACAAAACAGGTGCTTACACCCGGCTCCTAACCCCACCCAGTTAATCGCAACACTCCTCCACATCAACCACTTCTCCGAACACACCGGCACAAAGCAGTGGAGCTTGAAGCGTGCATGTCAACATCGGGCAGCGAAGCTCACCGTACCTTGTGCTACTTTCGCATATTTCTCCCCAACATAATGAGTGCTCACTTCCCAGTTTATCCAAGATTTATCTTCAAATTTCGGGTGTAAATCGTTCGGTATTTTACGTAGTCATGCTGCGAAAAGTTTGAATGAATTTCTATCCTTTTCACTTTTTTTTTTAAATCTGGGTCAACCTATGCTAAAGTTTCTCTTTCCTATTCTTATCACATTTTTCGGTATATAGGAGTTGACCTGAAAGGCGATCTCGAAAAAACTGGAAGACGGACGCTCGTCGGGTGCGATTGCAAAAATGCGGAAGGGGAACACGATAGTGAGGGCTTCACCACTCCACGCCGGTGCGCTCAGAGAAGCAGCCGAAGCAAAAGAGCATCTTTGCTGGCTACAATACACACTTTCCGAATTCATGAAATGATGCATAAATTATCCGCAACCGCCATTAGTTGGTCTCATCACATCCGGCTAGAAGCCCGCGATTGGTTCCAAGTTCGCACCGAGCGCTTATGCACCACCCACTTGTGTGAAATGCGTTTTGATCCGAGTGCACTTCAAATGCTGATGAAGCGCTCGTGTCCAATGCGCGCTCACAGTGCATGACCAACTAATGACAGCCGTGCATAATCTATGCATAATTTCTAAATTGCAAAAAGGGTCTACGGTGGCGGACCAAGAGCCCAGTAGATGCTCTGCCTCGAGCGCGAGCTTTCTGCCTTTGGTAGCACTTCGTCGCACGCGCCGCCCAGTCGACAGCAACGGGCATGTGCTGGAGCGGAGCGTCCGCTGCGTCCTTCACTCGTTGCCTACTATAGGTGGGCTCGGGAGTATGGGATGGGTGCTCGATATGTCCTTTGCTTATTTTTTTTTTTTTTTTTCATCCCGTAAGTAGTGGGTGGACACTTATAGTGATCCGGGTGCACGCTCTGTGCTTTACATCTGTAGTTGTCCTGTATTCGAGTCAGGACGGTGGCTGTACGAGACAGGTCTATGCACCGCAGTAGTACTTGCTTTGTTGGCTTCATTTGAACTCACTGTTTGTGCACCAGCTCACAAATGCGAACGAAGGAGGCTCGAGCAAGCTACAGCTGGGACCCATGGCCCTGAAGTTTGAGCTGTCCAACCAGTCCAGCTCCGGCCTCAAGATACGCTTCCTGCGGCTGAGTCGTGCCACCGACGCCCAGCGCTGGATCCGCTACGTCACCACTTCGGACTCTTGGGTTCAGCGGCTTACGTGACGACCAAATGTATAAAAGGAATGGGCTATTTCGACCCTTCAACAGAGCTTTTGTTTTCCCAAAAGATGTATTCCAGTGGTTGGGTTATGTTGCCTAAGGAACGGTATAAAGAAAGGGTCAATGTGCAGTTTTTCTTTTTTTAATTATCTAGTGGGAGCATGTAAAGTGTTTGCAAGCTGTTCAGGATGAGAAGCATCGAATGAAAATATAGAAGGTGAAAAGTTATCACCATTTTTCCATTCGGCTTCATTTTTGGCACGTTCACTTTCACGGCGTGCCAGCGGCGGCGGAATCAGAACCTGAGGTACTTCACGGAGCTTCTTCATCCTATGGTAAGCTCTCATCCTCTGAATTCAATTCTGAACAGTGTTAAAAGTCTCAGTCAGAAGAGCCGGAGCTCCAGTTGCCACTACAGCCAGAGCAGCTGACATGCGAGGCGACCACCTCGTGCATGTCGCATGTGCGGAGCGTCTAATTTCAAAAGTATAAAGCAGCTTGCAACCCATACTACGACTTGGACGGTGCCGGAGCTTGGCGGATAGGCGCCTTGACGACACCACACACTGCGCACAGAACAGACAAACTTCAGCCTCCCTGCCTACCTACTATATACCCTAGAAAATGAGAGATTCCGCTCCAGCCAGTATATCTTTCCAATCGAAGCTCGGCCGTGTGAAGTCACTGTACCCTCTGCGCAAAAAGCAGACTCGCATGCCAACCGACTTGAACTGCGAGATCATTTCGGTCAAAACAGCCACTTTAAAAGTAGAATGCATACACCCACTAATTGCTTGCAAATAAGTGTGTTTCCACAACTGGCACTTAAAGTACTTGTGTTCCGTGTATATTTTTATGCGACGGGAGGGTACTCGGCCCCAACAGGCATTTGTTGTCTCTGCTGTAGATGAGAAATGCTTCCAGTGCGGTACCTCGGACTCTTTAACCCATTGACGACCAACTTTTCTGTTCTCATAAAACATACTGCAAAATTTTATTTAAAATCAGCAATTTGCACGAAAATAAAACGAAACATTTGTTTAGCAAAGTTGAATGTGAGCATGTTGGTTTTCAGCAACTTGTTAAAGAAAGAATAAACAAAAAAGGTCGGACACAAAATATGTCCATCCTTTTAATGCGAGAGCATTAACTGGTCTCATGGAGCGAGCTGACGTCATCAGTCTGAAGCACGAAAACGGCAGATAGTTTCCTTTGGTTCCATTGGCTGGCGCGCGTCGACGGGGCTCCCATTGGCCGCTGCGCTCGTCAGTTTCCACGACCGCTCACCCCACGGCGCCACGTGTCCATCAGTGCAGAGCGTCCAAGGTCACCAGGGGAGCACACGCGCCGACCGGCGCCGAAAAGTATGCAGCAGACAAAAAAGGGAGCAGACGAGCGGCTTGCATGCTTTCGCATCCAGAACTCATAAGGAATGCTTAGGTGTACCTCAATCTTTTTTGTTTACTCTTTCTGTAACAAGTTATTTATTTGGCCTCCAGGTGCTGGTTGTTGCTCTCAGTATTATAATTCTTGGCTATCTGATGCGTCCATACTGGAGTTCTACACTGCGTGCTACTGTTGAAATGGTGATGGAGGGCGCGAATGACACTGGTGATTAGTAGCCAAGGGGTCAACATGTACCATGCAGTAGCGATTACAAGAACACATGCCAGTATGATGCTCATCCAGATCGAAACGGACGGAGGTAAGGTTTGTACCCAGGATCCTCAGGTTCTGTGGCACGTTTACACGCTCCACCACCAATCCACCCGACTGGAGCAGCATACACTTTGCAGCATATTTGAACAGTCTGAGGATGTGCTTGCTTGCTACTCCGGAAGCCGGCTGGGCACAAACTGATATCTCTATGCTTCCCCTTTTGTTTCGTTAAATGGTGATAACTGGTCATAACCAGTGATGGTGAAAACTGAAAAAGTTAGTCACACATTTGCGTGTGTGATGTGATGGCGAGTAAAACAGGGTTGTAGTTGTCGGTGTCAGTGTGTCGTCATGATATATGCACCCGAGAAAAATATTCTTTTAGAAGCATAATGCTGAGAAGCGTAGGTGATTTAGTGACTGAATAATCTTTGCTGGACAACCAGGGGCATGTCCAGGAGCAAAATTTGAGGCAAAGGGTATGTCAAAAGAGGCTATTTTTGTTTGAGGCGTAAACTAAAGGCATTTCCCCGCTGGTTGTACTTTTTGCTTCTCAGTAGCGGTACAAACAAGATTATGGTTTAAAAAGTTACACCATGTAGAGAAAAAAAGGATGGCTCGACAATGAGAAAACTGCATGATATAAATAATATTACGAATGACATTGCAATGTCGACCCATAAACTATTACAAGATTGGCGTCCGACTGGTGCCCCATGCTACAAGCATGCGCAGTGTGCGTGCGAACGTAGCTTTTGCAAGCTCGCTATTGCACGCACTTGCCTGCATGAGCAGCAGCATGGTGGCCACCAGATGCCCTGCATCTGCATTCGCCTAGAGAACGAAGTAGCGAACACTGTGAACCTCGCACCTCTCGGTAGGCCTGTTTTACAAAACCATAAATATTACCTAGATTGAGATAGGGACACAAAAGGACGACTTAAGTATTGCGGAGTATTATGTTGGCTATTATGCGCGAGTGCAGGTACAGTCTCCCACAATACGAAAGACCCATTTGTCGTGGGAGCGAATGGCAGGCACTTTGGCCAGAGACACTTTATTTTTAGGAAAAGGATAGAACAAATGTTCATTTACTTGCTCACCCAAAGTAATATGGACATGGCCAAAGCGAGACCTGCACAGCCGCCTGAAACTGCATCATCAAATGGGTCTTTCAAATCGTTTGAGACTGTACTTGCACAACAGTAAGAAAGCATGCATGGGAATAGTCTCTATACTCGGTGGTTCGTCTCTACTCAAAAGACAGCACAGACCACACAAACATTGAAACACCAACGTCAGTAACACGTTTGCACAGGTCAACCTGTCACGTCGGCAAGTAGAGGATCGTTCTCGACAGATTCCTTCACGAGCACAAGCGAGGTCTCCGTGGGCTCCTCCGCTTTGATGAGCTTCTTCAGGTTATCCTTCGCGTCGTCCTTTACAGACGCGCGTTTCTGGGGTTTCTTGGTCCGCTGCTTTGGGCGGCGGCCGCTGCCCAGAGCCTTGGCGACTTTGGGCAGCCGCAGGCGCGGGTACACCGGCGGCAGCTCCCGCTTCCCCTTGGTCGGGTCCCTGCCCGGCGAGTAGGACGGGATGTCGATCCCCAACCTCGCCATCAACTTGGTCATCACGTCGTCGACGTACGCGCGAAGTATCAAGTTAGACGACTTGTCCAGCTTGGTCGGCTGCAGGTTGCACACGATGATCTTGCCGGCGGACTTCTTGGCGAGCAGGGGTAGCGTGCCACAGGGCACGATTTGGAGCGTCGAGCCCAGGCAGAGGACGAGATCGGCGACCCTGCAATGGGCGTCAGCAGCCTCGATGGCGTCTTCGGGCAGCTCGTCTTCCCAGTCTAGGATGGAGTCGTGCAGGCGGCCCCTGCAGAGCCGTCCGTTGCGCTTGGGCACGGGACAGGGCTCGCCCGTGGGTTTCTGGCCCACCGTCCGCGTCGCCGTGTCTCGGATGAACTGTCGGCGGCACTGGTTGCAGCGGTCGACGAACATGTTGCCGTGCAGGTCGGCTAGAGTGTCCAGCGGGAAGCCAGATTTGAGGTGGAGTCCGTCTACGTTCTGGCTTACCAGGAATTGGAGCTTTGCGCGTTCGGCGAGGGCGACTAGGGCCATGTGAGTGGGGGTCGGGACGGCGTCGTCGAAAGAGATGTTCAGTGTGGGTTTCTCGCCCTTCTGCTCGAGGGTCCAGACTCCGTTTGGACCTCGGAAGTCGGGGATGCCAGCCGACGTGCTGATGCCCGCGCCAGTGATGACCACAACGTGTTTGGAGGACTGCATCCAGTCCGCGAGGCGCGCGATCTTGTCATCGAGTAGCGCGGCGTCGTCGAACTGCTCGGGCTGGCCGCAGACGCCCTTATCGGCGTAGTCGGACAGACCGCTCGCGTAGTCGCACGACATAACGGCTTGTGAAAGTTGATCGAGTGTGTCAATTACATCTTTAGATGTTTACATCGGTTCACAGGGTTCACATCATCGATTCATCGGTTTACATCCATCACACTCTGCGATGGCTGCAACCAGTTTGGATTGGATTTTTTTACTCTACAATTCACTGGATTGGATCGCGACGCCAACGCGCAAGGCAGCTTGGGATTGCCGGCGCCTTTCGGAGACCACTAAAACGTGAGACGGTTATTTAAAGAACCAAAACCCCAACAAAAATCAAGTGTAAATGGTACTAAATGCACACGTTAATTCACATACTCTTAAAATGTTTTATTCAGATAGTGTTAGCGTTCCTACGAATACGAATAACAAAATTTTAAAGGTTACGAATCTACGAAACCGTTCGCATCACATTTTTACGAGAATGTCCCTTTCATTTTCGATTTCCATTTAAAGGTTTCAAGGCATCAGCGTTCGTTCGGCCTGTTCCGTGGATGCGTTTTCTGCATTGAATGAAGCAGTGCGTTTCACCTCTGCCCGCCATTACTTATGGCTTAATCGTGTTTTAATTCCAAGGTCTTTCGACTTCCAATCCCTGTTCGGAACAAAAGCGAACGACAAAAGGCTCGACACCACGCCGGACGTAACCGAGTCAGCGTGCAGAGAACGTGATTAGCGTTGGAGTGAAGGACGGCGAAGACGCCGGCCTGTCTTCTACCCACCCTTTGCGTGATAACGCCAACTTTGGAAGCCAGCATGGATGACGACAGCTGGAGGCCACCGACGGACGCCGAGCTCAAGGTGCTCGAGGCGAGGCGGGAGCGCCAGGACAAGATCAGCATGATCATGGGCGACTACCTGCTTAGGGGTTACAAGATGCTCGGAGACATCTGCGACGTTTGCAGCGTAAGTATGCTGGTAGTAAAGGGGAGTCTAAAAATGTGACCGTTTTTGAACCACTTCCTCTTTACCGCAGTGTTCGCAGCAACCCGACTCGATCGCGTCAGCTCAACGAGTTGTACGGGAGCTCTATGTACGGGAGGGACGTGTGGACCACGACCAAATTTATTGATTAGAAATACGCTTCTTCTGAATGGCGGAAACGACCGTCTATAACAGCGCTGGTTGCAGAAAAACACACCGCAGCTTTTCGCCGACAACCTTTCCTTGCAACCCCCTCCCCGTCGCTGCAGCCTTGTTTCTTCCTTAGTATTTCACTTCTATCGTGAAAAAACGCTCAACTTCTGCGCACACTTCCTTTTCAGACCATTCTGCTGGAAGATCGACAAAGCAACAAATACTGCATAGCCTGCTCGGAGGTGGACACTTCGGAGAATTTGAAGGACAACCCAGGTACAGTTAAAGTGTGTTGCTCGAAGTGGCAGCAAATGGTTCACTTAATCATTACAGTACCCTCAGGGGTTGCTGTAGGCTCATTTCATTTACCTGTGTACCTCTTGCACCAGCTGCACTCAGTACCCACTAACCGGGGGTTTCCTCGGGAATTAAAATGAGGGGGGGTCTGAATTTCCAGGGGTCTGGGAGGGGGACACAAGGAGGCAATTTATTTTCTATATTTACTTAACTCCTCTTCTGCTGATTTTTTTTTCCATGTGGGATCAAAGATGCATGCGTGGTGCCCAACAGACTTTCTGGAACTCTACATTTAGCATCGCAGTTGAAATATTTAATGCAAGGGGGGGAGGGGTGTAACCCCCCCCTGGAAGTGGGTAGAGAAATCACTGCATCTAACGTTGAACCCCCACCGCCGTATTCGATTTACGAATGCAGCCAAGAGTACAGTGCCCTGCACTTTTCTGCACTGGTGCAGGTAATCATATGAGCCCAATTACAGAAAGGTAGTGCATGGCCAGGGGGAGGGGCTCCAACCAACCCTATAGGGAGTATTCACTGGCGGCCATAGCTGTGTGCGCGAATGCCGAGCGCGTGCTGCCACAGTTCTTTTGCAACATGCATTCCGCACCATCAAGAGTGTCGGTCTTAGCAGCCTATTGATGTGAGTTCGTTCTGAGCATGCGCTCTAAACAGCACCCACAAATATGGCGTCTAGTGAATACTTCCTATGACTAGGGTTCAGTGTTTTCGGTTAAATCTGAAAAACACTTGCCAGTAAAATTGCCTTCAGTTTGCATTTATCCGAAAAACTGTCAAAAACAATGGCAAAAAAAAAAGGGGAAAAAAAAAAAGATGGTGTTTCACACATAAATTTTGTAAGAGCATACATAGGTTGGTGGTCCTATTGAGCGGCCACTTTAGTTTCCTTTAATATCCTGAACAACTGAATTTTGAAAAATTAGGAACATGAATATTTCAGAGAGTTGGGGACGAAAATGAACTCTGATAAACCCTGAATTTTCAGCAAAAAGTACTCAGAAAATACGGAATTCTACCTATAACATACTCAGTGCATAACCTCCCCCCCGCACACATATTTCTGGCCATGGCACTGCAGAGGGGAGTAGGTAACTAAGCACAACAAAACTAGACAAAAAAAGGAGTGAACCAGAGCCATGGGAGACTTACACAAAAGTCATTAGCAAGATAATATTTTAAGAAACATAACAATGCCATTGATACTAATGATCTAGGCAGGTGATTTTACTTCCTCTGTTCTTGGTAATTGTTACAGGCTGATGTCCAACAGTGGGAAATGTAAACTTTTAACTGCCGATCAATACATAAAGAAATGCAAGAGGGATCTGGGAAGTTTCTCTCTTTGGGTTAGGATTAGTACGATACATTTTGCAGACGATACAGATGAGAAAATCTCTAGTGCAATGAAAGAAGAGGTTGAGGGGTTGAAAGAAGAGGTTGAGGAGTTTAGCTTTTACAAATGACAGACTGGCTGTACAACGATGGTCGCATTTCGTTCATAGTCTTTGCGACGCTCTTTTTCGTGCAGTTCTTTCGGATGCGGCGGCACAGAGGCTGGTCGAAGAGCTGGAAGCGAACTCGGTGCCGCAGTCCCGCGAGCCTCAAGCGACCGAACTAACCCCGCTCTTGCCGGATCGCGACCGTTACGCTCCGAGAGGGGACCCATCCAGCGGGGATACCCATGCATCCCCCGTCGTGGGTCTGCCGGTCTTCCAGAGTGACAACAATGCGTCGCCGGCAGACACCTGCCTGGATGCTACTACGGCCCAGCGAGTGGTTCGAGACAAGCTGGAGTGGGCGACGCGGGAACTGCGGACGTGCTCCAGTGTCGACCTGTCCATCCAGATGTGCAACCTGGTCAAGTCGTGCGCAGAGGCTCTGCTGGCCCTCCGGAACTTGGGGCTGGACGGCGAGTCCGCCAGCAGGGACACGAGCGCCCCGACGAGCTGGCGCAACTCAAGGCCCCTCTGATGATTTTTGTTGGATAAAAATGTAGGATTCTGTTTGCTTCCAGAACGCGATTCGGTGGTTATGGCGATGTCAGCGTTGGTGCCGTCACGGACATTTGCTTGAATGCTGTCGAGGTCAATTGCCTCCTTTATCCATCGATGGAAAACAGCCATCAACCTTTCTTGCAACATGAATCACTTTATTGAGTTCCGGTAAATACTGTTTGGCATTGTTGTGTAGGCCCTGTCTCAAACTAAAATCGAGCGGTGTGCACTACTCTGGCTTGTGGCTGGAACGGTGGTGTCGTGTTTGTATACCGACTCGCCATCTTCAGAAATTGCCGATTCGGGAAGTTTTGTAAATGCTCGTGCGTGGTGTGTAACTCATGGCGACTTAATGCGCGGAGCAAAAGCGTATTTTGAAGCCAAACGCTCCTAACTTGTGAATTCCAAAAATGGTGGATCGGTGCCACCACCGTTTATTGAGGGCGTGCGCAGAAAACGTTCCTTCTTGGGCATTGCTAGAGCTTGGCAACGGTGGACCGATCGGAGGCTACCCTGAGTGCGTGGCAATGCCCAAATTGAGCAGCGACTCAGTATTCGCGCGTAATTGGCAAGCTGTATTCTTTTTCGACATCAGCCAAACGTAAAGGCCCGTTCACACAGTTGCGTTTTCTTGCCATTGTGCACCTTAAAACCTCTTCGGATACACACTCTATCTATGAGGCGACCCATGAACTCGAGCAAAGGTTCTGCGGTATTTGAGAGATCGGATGCACATACCCACCGAGAAAAATTCGGTTATAACATTGTCAACAACTTTGCATTCAAGCAAAAAAAAAAAAAAAAAAAAAAAAGATGAGCTTTTGTAAAAAATATGTGGAAACTGGGTGTTCCATGGCTAAGCAGTCAGTACCTTTGTAGCAAGATATTTTAAGGCCCACATTTTTAAAGGGATACTAAAACGAAATTTCGGTGCTTATTTCTTTACCTATACGTGTTCAAGGGAGCAGTATCGCATCGGACACACCAACCTCTTGTTGAAAAAGACCCGAAAAGGAATTTTAAAACAAATTAAAGAATCGGCAAACGGCATTTGGGGGACGTTGCTAAAGCCTCGTTTGTAATACCAGTCTACGAACCTTGACGGGTAGTGACTAAGCCTATCTCACCTAGATACTATACATGCCTTGAACCCGACGTCATCTTGTCGGCTCTCCGGCAACCACGAGAGAAAAGGGAAAGAGGAACAACCCAATCACCGGGATGCTCTTGTTGTTTCCCAGGTGTTGCTATTGTCCCGCTACAAGATTATAGAACATTAACCCTTCACTCAAAATTCGTTCATAAGCAGCTTTGCAGTTAGTTGCGGTGGTTTGATCGCTGGCGTGCTTCGGCCACTTCGGTGGCTGGAACCGCTAGGGCATCCTGTCGATGTCAGCCTCGCTGCAGCTTTGCTCGTCCCGAGACAGTCTACATCACAATTGCGCCATATGTCGCGTGGCCTCCGCTGGCTGCTCTCCAAGCACTTGCCAGAGTGGGCCATTTATAACGAAAAATACAGCCATCAGCCTCAAAATACAAACGTGCGATTGTCATTTACGGATATTGTGGATCATGTTCAGCATATTTCTGAACACGACGGGTATACTATTCCAAATTTCGTTGAAGTATCGTTTTAAAGGTCAACTCCGCTCAATTTCGGGATAATGAGCGATTTCGCGGTAAAAAGCACAAATAAAAGGCACTACGTAATTTGCTTCACAAAAAATGGGTTATATCTAGTTAAATCTCACTTTAAACGTAAGCAGAAGTCGAAACATCGCTGCCGTCGGGCAACACTGACCTTGGGCTACCACGTGGTACAAGATGTCGTGATCCTCTATGCAACGATGGGCGGGGTCAGCATGGGCGTATGCCAGGAGCAAGTGTCGTCTATACCCCAGTCTTCACGTTTTGGTCTCTACAGTATCAGACGATGTCTGCACAACTGCGCAATCGGTCTGCGCACGTAGTATGAATGAAACTCCCAGAGACGATAACCAGAAACGGTGGGAAAACGATGGTGGTTGTGACAAGGGAGACAGCGGTAACGGTGGGACGGCTCTTAAGAGCTGTCCCACCTTGCGCCACTCACCTGGATGCCACTGAGCGCCGCGAGGAAGCATTGACATCGCCAGTCTTGCCCAGAGAATTAGAAACAAAAAAAGGGCAATGTTGATATCGCTTAGCCCAGGGGTTCTCAAACTGGGTTCCAGGGAACACAGGGGTTCCACGAGCTGGTCTCATGGGTTCCGCAAATACCCAAATTGCAACCCCCCTCCCCCCATTCCACAGGCTGCGCGGCAGGATTATGCAAAGCGCCTTCATCTCACTTAGTACTGACATTGTGATTGATATGGTGGGGATATGGGAAGCAACACAAGCAAAATTGCCTAAAATTTGATCTGTTGCTTCTCGATAGGCAAATATGGAGGGGGGGTTCTGCGGCAGTTTTTGAGGCTTCCTGGGGTTCCGCGAGGCCAAAAAGTTTGAGGACCCCTGGCTTAGCCCAATGTTAACTATGCCAAAGCGCTGTGATTGCGCCTCAATTTGCCTGCAAGAGTTGGCCGATTTTGGCAACTTTGCAGGTTCCAAAGTTTGACGGTCAGTTTCCTAGGCAATACTGAAGTTGCCCTTTAAGGAAATGCAAGTGTTTGAACCATCCTTATTGGAGATGCCGCAAACTTTTTTCGAACCTAAGGTTCGTAGGTCGAACCAGGGGTTTAGAAAGGTTTGAGAAGTATCGCTTTGTCGAACTTTAGCATTTATAATTTGTATCATTTCAAATTTATTGCATTAAGAAATTCACAATTTACGAACTTTCAAACTTACTAAATTTAAAAATGAGTTTTACAACTTTCGAATTTGTTACTTGAAAAGTTCATACTTCCGAACCTGCCATCTTGAAGAGTTCTTTATTCTTTATTCAGAGATTACCCCGCAGTGCCCGAGGGCGTTACAGCAGGGGGATTACAATGCTGAAAAAAACAGATCTTCACTTTCACTGCACACTTGCAGCTCCGACAGCCCATTCCACTCTCGTATCGTTTTAACAAAAAAAGAGTTGGCGTACATGCTCGTCCTGGCGCGGAGCTCTCTAATTTTGAAAGCATGATCGTTCCGTTTAGAAATATATTATGGTTCTTTTAAGTAAGTTTCACTGTTAATTCCAGTTTTATTTTTAAATATCAAAAACAGAAACTTTAAACACAATTTTTTACGGCGGGCTGAGAGAGGTTCCCAATTCAGTTCAGTTTTCATTTGAGTACAGCTCTCTCTCCACCCGTAACGTCCCAGAACAAACCTAGCAGCTCTATTTTGTATTTTTTCAAGTTTGTCTATTAATGTTTTTTGTTCCGGGTCCCAGACGGCACAGGCATATTCCAAAATTGGCCTAACACATGTTAAATATGCGGTTTCCTTTAAGTTAGGGAGTGAACATTTCAGGTCCATAAATCCATAAATCCAAGTCCATAAATCAACAAATTGCGAATCTCACCAGGACTCAAACTATTGCACCAAAGCTTTTATTGACGATTCCTAGGCAGAGCAACTACACGAGTTCTTGCCCATCTTGCCGGTTGTTGGCAAGCTCCGACTGGCGACTGCCCCCCCACCCCCCCCCCGACGTTGTTGCTGTGCACCGCAGTGTGCTTAGAGTTTAGTTCCGCTTCCAACACTTTGCGACCTTTTCGGCAAGATCCAACAATCAAGCATGGAGCAGGCCAACACATGCAGTCATTATAATGAACCAGGAAGCAGACTAGATAATGAATCCTTCCTCTACAGAGTTGTCTTGGGTGACAGAAGTGATGTGTGCTCATTTTACCTCGGTCCTTAGGGGAGATATCTGCAATGACTGTACTGCTTATTTATGTAAGTTTTTTTTATCATTCCTCAAGTAAGCTGCCTTCAGAAAAATCACACAACCTAATTACATTTTACCTGTAATGATTTCAAATCATATTTAAAATATTTCAGAATAAAAAAAAATGCACAAAGTTTATAAATGCTTTTATTTTGCTGCTCCACACACATAATGGGAACCATGCAAGAGCTCTAGAAATAGTGTACATGCGTGCAAACTACGGTGGAAGAAACATTTAGGTTACGACTCTGTCCGATGCGGCAACCACAATATGTTTGGCGCACCGAGCGCTCCTCTCGCGCGGGGATAGATGGCGCCCAAGTATGGGATCTCTCCCAAACAGACCGTGTGGTGATTTGGGGTGAGCGTGGTGATTTCCACGGGCAAGAAAGAAAGCCTTCACTGAGGGAGAAGAAAAAGAAGGAGGTTGAAGAAGAAGAAGTGTGGAACTCGACGGGACAGCATCAGGCCGGCGGGCTGTGCCTTGCAACTTTACGCAAGGTCGTCCGTCGACAGGTCGACAGAGCCTTGCAGCTACACGCAAGACCCGACTGCGAAGACGCCGCCCCCTAGCCACACGTCAACAGACGGGTTGAGACATCCAACCAAGCCATCGCTGCAACGCTCACCAGGCTTCGAACACTGTCGCATCGCTCCCCGGCGAGGCCTGTAACATACTGTCAGTGACATTCATTTGTACGGTTTTTGTAATAATCTGTATATAATATCTTAAATCTTTAATCATATTTATCGTATCCAACCACATTGTCTTCGTGTTCCGTCTCACTGTGTCACACACCTGCGAGCGTGAACCAGTCCACCACATATCTGGCGTCCGCGACAGGACTTTACTCTTGTTTTCCACTCTAAAGAGCTTCACCTCGCTGGTGTGTGTGTGACGACCGAGAATGGATCTCGAGAAGTTAATGAAGGTTGGCAAAGAGTTGGGGCTTTCGGGGCCAGAACTAAAACAATGGATGGACGATGAACGTGCTCGCGATCGAGATCAGCGTGTGGCAGAGCGCGAGGCTGTCAAAGAATCGGAAGCCAATGCTCGCGCTCGATTAGATGCAGAACGCGCAGTACTAGAGCTGAAGTTACGCTTACAGGAGCAACAGGGGATCGTAGGAGCGGTAGTTCCAGATGCGGCTGGTGAGGGTACGTCAACTGGCACTGTACATGGACATCGGAGCCCGCACAAGCCGATACCGGCATTTAACGAGAGGCGCGACGAACTTGATGCGTATATCCAAAGATTTGAGCGGGTGGCAACTAGTCAGGAGTGGCCCCCGGATAACTGGGCCTTGTCCCTCAGCCTATGCCTGACAGGAGAGGCGCTAAGTGTGGTCGGACGCATGGCTCCTGAC